TTCCACCATCTGTCCGCACAGCTGATGACCTAAATGTGAAGGAGACCCCCTCTCCCCCACGGCCTCCTCCCTGCCCCTTATCGGTGCCTGGCTCAGTTCTGACCCAAGCTTTTCACGTGTGTCCTTTGCACTGCCCTGAAGGCCCTCTCTTTCTTTCCTCTGTGTAATGAACATCGATCTATTTATCTATCTGGGCTTCAGCTGACTTTCTATTAATACCTCCTGCCGGCTGCTTCCTACAAGGGCTGCCCAGCACCAGGAAGCCCCCTCTTCCTTGAATTCTCATGGAAACAGGTCTCTGTTGCTCCTTTTTTATTTTATATATTTTTAAAAAACACGCCACTATAGGGCCAGCTTCAGGGCCCTGTCCTGAGCAGGGCCCTGTGCCTGGTTTCATGCTCTGCTGCCATTGTTTTAGAAGTCTCAGTAATTTTTTAACAAGGGACCCTACATTTTCATTTTGTACTGGGCCCCCCAAATGATGTGGGCAGTCTTGCAGCATGATCACACATGTTAATGTAAACTAATAGCTACATCACATATTTGACTGTAAAGTGCATCCTCTGAGTATGAATCAGCCACAGCAAATACATGCTTCTGACTTACTACTGGAAATTGAAGCTCAACAGATATTTTGAAGATTTTTGGCACCCTTACCATACCCTCTTTTCATAAAGAAATTCTTGGTAATCATGAGACCAAGAATGACTACATTTCATCACTTTCTATCAGAGCAATGAAACATTGGTAGGAAAAAAAATCAATGAAAACTTGTTTAGAAAGTAAGTCAATAGCCATAGATTAGCAGTGGGGCCTAGGCCAAGGGACTGATGCTTAAGAGCAATTAGATTAAATCTAAAGATTTTTCTCTGTGGATGTGGAAACCTTTAATAACACTGTAAGCTTTAACTAATAGCACTGACCATGTGTCATTTCAAGGGTGAGGCTAGAGGGACTTCTTACTGAAGCTCTGGAAAGTGACAATCCTTGTAATGGGTTACATCATATATCCCCCAAAATGTATGTTCAACTCCCAAGCCCAATCACTGTGCATGTGACCGTATTTGGAAAGAGTTCCTTTGAAGATATAAATTGGGCCCTAAATCTAATGACTGGTGATCTTCTAAGAAGAGAGATAAGAGATGCCCAGAGAAGGTAGTGCGATGAAGTCAGAGCAGAGATGGGGAGTGATGTGTCTACAAGCCAAAGAACTCCCAGGATTGTCGGGAAACAGAAGCTAGGACAGGGACACAGGACAAATTCTCCTTCAGAGCCTCCAGAAGGAACCTATCCTGCCTTCAGCCGGATTTCAGACTCCTGGCCTTCCAAATGGTGTGTGAATCAATTTATGTTGCTTTAAGCTACCAAGCTTGTGGTTGTTTGTTACAATGGCTTTAGGAAACGCATAGAGTCCTTGCAGATAGAAAGTGCTTTTGAAAAGCTGGGGAAAAAATGTGTGAATTCTAGATCTAAATCTAAATCACTCATTTTTAACAGGTGAGGAACGAGTATTGGCAAAATACATTCAGAGAAACCACAGTAATCGTCAGGCTTTATTTCATTTTCTATTACATCTAATTAATGAGAGAGGAAGAGAGAGATGGAAGAAGAAAGGAAGATATGAAGAAGTGGGGCTAGAAAATAAAAAATACGGAGAGAGAAAAAGCTAAACACAAGACCACAAGAGAAGGGAGGGGCACAGAAGCTAACAGCCAATGAGGCTTACTCGGTGCCAGAGATGATGGTAAGTGGCTGGCATGGATTCTTTAATGTCCACACTACCATTCCACAGATGAGGAAACTGAGGCAGAGAGCTAAGCTCTTCCACAAAGGTCGTGCTGTGGCCAAGTGTACTAAGCCGGCGGTGGCCACCATCACTGTGCCATGCGTGGCCAGCAAGTACAGTAATCCAAACTGTCAAGGCTTTGTGTTTCTCTGGCTTGAATATTTCTAGAGCCCAGACACAAAGTAAGTGTTATTTGGGTGATCACTTAAGAGAGAGTGTCTCCTTAGGCCAATTAGATAAACAGAGATGTGGAAAAAAAAATGAGGTAGGCAACCTAGCGGCTTTTCTCTCGGCAAGTACTTTTATCATTTAGAGAAGAATCTGTTAATTTCCCCATTCCTTCAAAAAATACTTCCTAGTACTTAGTGGGTGCAAGTAACCCTAGAAAATTCAGGCTTTAAAAGAGCAAAAGATGCATTGGCATAGAGTGTCAAAAAGTACAGAATCGTTGCCTGAAAGGAGGCGCAACTGTAACTTGGTTCTTTCTCAAAGCTTTTGTTCTCAGAGCTGAGTTTCCATTTACTCAGCCCAGCTTCTTTGGAGAAGCAAAGGCTGTGCTCAGGAGGGTGATGGGAGCTTTCCCAGCACAGGGAACTTCTAATCAATCCTCTAATCTACCTCCGGGTAGAGCAAGGAGAGGGCTTCTTACCTGGGCTAAGAGTCTTAAATGGGGCAAAAAAATCTTCTCATAGAGCAAGGCGTCAAGCTCTACTGGCAGATTTGAATCTCACGTGGTGGTCTCTAAGCCAGGGGGCAGACAGGGCCTACAAAGCCCTGTTGCTGATAAGCATGAACTGGTGATTATCATTCTTTTAATTGAGCCGTTACTATTTCATCCCATGCACGTTATATACCCTCAATTATTACTTGAACTACAGATCAAGAAACTTTCAGAATAATGTCCATTAGAAGTCAACATAAATAAAAGCCAATGTAATTTAAGGTATAAAACACAAATTCCAAGCAGATGGCAGGGGCCTTTGATAGAGTTTTCTTCCTTTAATTAGTTCAGTGGCTTGTTACTAAAAACCTGCTGCTATATTCATATCAGAGACCTGCTTTCAGAATGTTCTTTCAAAAACCATGCAAAATTCCCATTTAGACTTAGTTGAGGGGGTGAGCAGTGGACAGATTGAAGATGGAAAGGGCCCAGCAAAACAGAGGGTCCGCCTCCTCGGGTCCCCGCCACTCACTCATAAAGACAGTGGCACGAACAGTACCATTGAAAGCCACGATCCACTGTCACAGCTACTCGGAGTGTGCTAAGTTTCAAAGATCTCCATTTAAAACATGGAAGAGAAACGCTCCTGTCTGGCTTGTGTATTCCTCTTGAACAATTTGTCTATTCTCTGCTTTTTCTTCTCTCAAGAGCTCTAACTCAGAAGAGGCCACACTAAATAGATAATGAGTTTTTAAGCAAACATTTTAAAAGCTGCTGGTGTTTTTTCTGTGACCTGTATTTAACAAATCATGTTGGTAACAGTACTATTTAAGAAATAAATTTCAACTATCTTTTTATTTAAAAACATCTTAAGATTGATTTTCCCTTCAGAGATCTAAGATTAAAAAGACTGAAATTAGTTTCGAAAGTATCCATCAGCTAACCATGGTTGCGTGTTTTGAAACCCAAATTCAGACACAGAATATATGTGGAAAAACTATTCTATGCAAACATAACTCTAATTTCTTAAAGCCCAAAGAATTGCAGATATGCGTGAAAATGTGATTATTCATCCCTTTAAACTCTCATTTCTTGAAGCCGAAAGAATCGGAATATTCAAGAGGAAGGAAAAGAATTTACACGTCTAAGATGATCTATTGTCTCATCCACGGTGGTGCGTCCACAGGATGCAGAAAGTCGGGGATTTCTGCCAAAAGTCAGAAAAACGCTTTCTTAAAGAACACAAATTAATGAGGATACAAATAGAAAACAAGGTAAGAAAAAAATGAAGCCTTTTTGTACTCCATATCAGACCCGTCACTCTTCAGGGAGAGGAGAAATATCAACAGCTTTAGCATGGAAGAGAACCCACATAATGCAGTTCTTTACCCCAATGCTAAATACGTAGGGCTGTAGGATTCCATCCCTCGGTTCAATTATAGCCTGCAAATGCCAGAGCCACTTGCTTTCTAAAAACAGACGCAGGGAAAGGACCAAACTAACAATGTATATTTAATAGACACACATTTGTCCTTCTGAAGGTCTGGAAAGCAACCCAATAAATTGGTTTCTTTTGTCATCTCTGACAAAGGGCTAGCTAGTTCCAATACGCACTTGGCCTACTGGCCCTAAAGGAGATAAAAGTTTTGAAAGAGGAGACGGTTCACATTTTGCCTTTCCTGCCTGTTCTTTTCTCCCTGGATCCTTTATCTCCACTTTCTCCCACTTTCAAATTGTCAGACCATTTGCTGGGGCAAAATCTCTAATTCTATCCTGTCTCTCACTCCCCACAATGGCATCTCACTGGGCAATTTGGCATCAGAGTCAGTAACCAGCCCTTCTTGGAAAACAGGGTGAAGGAGACAGGCCATTCTTTTCTGATGGCAGGCCCTTTCTACAAGTGCTGCACTCAAACAGAGATAGTGGTCTTTCCAGTTTATAAATACACATGGGAAAATGTACTTAAACTCCCACCAGGTTTCCAGATCTTTTTTGTTTGGTCTGGTGAGCAAGATAAAGGCTGGGACCAAGGGTGCCCCCAGCACCCAGAACACAAACAAAAAACGATGGGATGGCATCTCCTGTCTAAAATTTGCTTTCCCAGCTGTCTATGCATGAAAGGGAGTTAGCATCGCTGAAAACCAAAGACAAAATAGAAAACGTGAAACAGGCAACTGTTTTCCCTGGGTCGGAGATGGCGATACACTTTACTGCTACTCTGACTGGAAAAGTACTGCTCCACTTTCCCCAGAACGTCTCTCAATGTGACAGACTGGGCATGCTCTGTTTGAGTCTTTCACTGGACCTGAGAATATGGAGAGGAAATGGGCCCAATTCTCCAGAGCTAAGTCAACATACAGATAGATGTTTCTAGGCATAAGCACCAAGCTAACTGCTTGCAAATCTGATACAAATCCATGGTGTTCCGTTTGTTGCTAAAGCAAAGGAATTTGCTGTCTCCGGACTTTACAGTCAGAGACCAGACGGAAACCATAAACTATACCTCTCCACCTGCCTTTCACGACAGACCAAAGAACACAGCGACTTGCTTACCTTAAAGTTGTGTGTCTTCTCATAGTTGAAGTGGTTGTCGTTGTGTGTGAGGGCTGCCCTTCGAACCAGGGAGGAGATCTGTGAACAAGCAAAGAGTTTGAGAGGGGGCCAGAGGAAGGCGCCTTTGACTCCCACCTTCACCCCCAGAGCGACAGCCAGCAGCTCCGGGCGTTTTCTGCCCTGCTTGGACTTCCGAACCACAGCACACTTTTTCTCATTTTCCAGCCACAGTTCCTGGGAGAACATCGTGCCCGGATCCCAGATCTTTCTAGTTTCCCCTGTGGAGCCTGGGGAGCTCCGTGCCGCCGTCAGGGCTTTCGAACCGCAGCTAATGTTAGGCAGCAGATTTGAGGCAGCTGCGTCCTGTCTGCAGAGGCCTCCAGCATGTGACCTAGAAGGCCCGGTTTGAGTGATGGCCGGGTGGAGGGGGCTCTGCTTCTGAATAAGGACGGGCCTGTTTTGTGCTATTTCTTAAGGCCGACGTGTGCCTGGAACAATAGCACACATTCATGTGTGCAGCAACCCCCAGAAGCCGTGTCCAGTCAGCCACTGAGGATTCAGGGCGGCAGGGGCAGGCGGCTTTATTTCTCCTGCCGCAGCACATTGTAAAGCAGAGACCTCTCCTCCTTCCTAGCACATTTCAAACTCACGTGTGCACACACCCCCCCTCCCCAAGTAGCTCTGATGTGCAAAGTCTAAGGCTGCATCCAATTATTCTGGGGCTCTGAACCTCATCCTGGGCTGAACTCCAGCAGATTAAACCTTTAAACCCTGATGATTGTTTAATCGTACAGGGGTAAAGCCTGTGTCTCTTGTTTTAAATCTGCCTCAGCACTTGAAAGCTTCACTTTTATTCCTAGGCATGTATTAAATTGAAACAGTCTGAACACCAAATGGGGCATCAAAGAGCAAAGCGTTTGAGCTCTGAGTCCACTTTAGAAGTTGCAAACTAAGAGGCAGGACACCTCCCAGTCTCCCCTCTCTCCTTCCAGCACAAACAGCCTCTGCTCAAACCCACACAGACGAGGCAACATTCCTTACCAAAATATCACGGTCACTTGCCTTTTAAATAAAACATCTTTGATATTCTTTCTATGCCTGGCCAAGCCTATAAAAATGCCCTCCTTGCTCTTAAAAGTATTATCTGTCTGATGGTCTCTTGGTCCCAGGTCTTCCCATTAAGGATATCATGATGTCTTGGGAGTACTCCTGATCTGGTAGCAAAGTTTAATGCAGCTAATGCCAGACAGTAAAATCAATGCTTTAGGAACTTGAAGGTGAGAACTAGGTGGCTGGAGCTTTATGTAAATGGATGGTCTGTGAATTTCAACCTGTCTCTTACTGAGAGGAGGCACCATGCCCCAGCCTTGTGGAGAGACCAAAGGTCAATCCTTCTGTGCAGTTCTTTATTCCCAGCAAACACCATCACTTCAACTTGGTTTAAAAATCCATCCTCCCATTTCATCTTTGTTACCTTCAAAAATAACTGCCGATTTTTATATCGCGCTACTGAGTACAATAATTTCTGTAGCGCCAGACGATGTTCAGGATGTGTCAAATGCACTTATTTTAAACTTCAGCATGTGGGAGCAAAATTTTTATTCCCATTTTCTCAGATGAAGAGACCAAGCACTGAAGGTGGAGTTGATTTTCCCCAGGCCATGCAGCTGCTCAAGTCGCAGAGCCTGGATCAGAAGGCACCTGTGCCCATGCCCTGCTCTGTGTGCCCTGCTGCCTCGCTCCACCCTGTGCTGCCACCCCCTGACATCGGTCCTGCCAGATGCTTTATCTGAAAGCCCTCCTCTTGCTCCACAATAACTCAGACCTTCGTGTCTTTCCAGGCCACCTCACACACAATAATCTTCCTAATCTGCTCACCACTCCATCTGCTTAGGACATGCCAGCGCTTCTCCAGGGCTCAGCTGTGTCCTGGAATCATGGGTATTTCCTGAGCTGGTCCTGATGTATCCAGTTCATTGTATTTCCCTAGACTCCCCTTTACAAGTCCAATAAAATCTTTTCTCCAACATACTCAATTTCTCACCTCGGTAGCTTGCTCTGTTTTTTAGAATAGTTCAGTATCGTTTCAACATGTCTGCGTTTCCACCGGCATTCACATTCTAACTCAAATGCCACCTTTTCCAAAAAAAGACTTCTCCAACTCCCCCACTGGAGGCAAACACTCTTCTTTGAAATCTCACAGCATCTTCTCTACATTTTCTGATGACACCTCTCACTTCTATGTTGTATAAGAGTGATTTAGTGGGTTCTTATCCCCCCCGTTATACTGAGAACACTCACCGTGGTGTGTTCGATGCCTAATTTGCTCTTGGCTCCCCCTACAAGCGAAGGTTCCTTGCCATGGTAGGAACTAGATATAAGTTTCTAGGGAACACCTATCCATATAGGGGGGCACAGTTGTGCAAGGTGTGTGTGGCTTGGGGTCTCTTGCCCCATCCTGTGATTGCCCATCCCCTCTGCCTTGGCTTCCAAGGACCCGTTTCACCCCCAGGTTCTGCCATCTTGATGTGCTCCCTCGGGCTCTTTAACCCCCTTTCATCATCCAATCCTAAGAACAACTGATGGGGTTTAGTAAAGCGATGGAGAGGAGGGAGACGGAGCCTTTCCCAAACCTTCACTGCTAGCAAATCAAGAGAGGCCTTCTGACAGCAAGCCTTTTCAAGCAAGAAGGAATTCCATGATCTCAACTAGATGAATGATATGGATATATAGCTTTAGAATCTGACATAGATAACTCTTTTAAATGGCATGTAGGCAAAAGGGGTCTTCCTCTCCTTTTGGTCTATGGCTGGTTGAATACAAGATTTGATATTTTCTCTTGTGTCTGTGCCTTTACTTGTAACAAGTAATTTTTATTTCTATTTGTGACAGTGATTTCTTTCTGGGATATTGATTCAATAGAATTTGCCCAAACACAAGACACATTCAGAAATGTGAAGGAACCACTCACTGTTCCCCTAGGAGGCTTCTTTACAGGGGACTGTAAGTGTTAGCCTTTGAGCCACATTATTGTGTGCCGTGTAGATGACCTCACATCACCCTGCTATTACAGGAAAAATGATCACAAAAATCTCTTGGTAAAAACTTCCCTCTTAAATAATCCAATCGCATAGAGCTCTGCTTTATCTACACTCCCCAAGGACAGATACTTGGTTTCTTTTATAATCACCACAATGTCTAATACAGTGCTCTCTATACACAGTGGACTTTCAATACTTCGGCTGACCGTCTTCTAGCAAAAATTTCTATCTGACCTATTTTTATCTACACATTCATTAGATGAAGCACATTTCCCTACACACGCTGCTTAAACCAGGGATTCTCACTGGAGCGCCTGACATTTAGGGCTGGATAATCCCTCGTTGTGGGGCTGCCCTGTGCCCTGTAAGATGTTTAATGGCATTCTTCACCTCTGTTCACCAGATGCCAGTAGAACTCCCAATTAGGATCATCAAAAATGTTTCCAGACATTGCCAAATACACTCTAGAAGGCAGGCAAAATTTTCCCTGGTTGAGAATATGTGAATTCAGTTGATAACACAGATATTTACAGCAAGCTTACTGCATATCCAGTATTATACTCAGCACTCTGCATATTTGGACTCACAGAAGATTTAAAGCCCTTTGCAGGAGGTGCTGTTACAATTACCCCAGTTTTGCAGATAAGGAAATGGGAACTTCGAGTTTCACTGGTCGGGGAGAGGCACAACTAACCAGGTCTGTGCTTCCCCCACTCTGCAAGAACAAGTTTACTGTTTTTATTGTGGTGAAATATACATTACATAAAAGTTAAAATTGTAACTATTTTGAAGCACACAGTCTTGGTGCATTTAGTGTATTCACAGTGTTCTCTGACCTTCCCCTCTAGCTAGTTCCAGAATATTTCATCACTCCAAAGTGAAACCCTGTGCCCATCAGGACCGAATCCCTGCTCTCTTCCCCGCAGGTGCCTGCGGTCTGTTTTCTGTCTCTATGGCTTTGCCTATTCTGAATATTTCACATAAAGGGAATTATACAATGTGTGGCTTTCTGAGTCTGCCTCATTTCACTTAGTGATGTCTCCAGTTTCATTCGTGCTGCCGTGTGTAGGACTTTATTCCTTTTCATTGCTGAGTAATAATCCCTTGAGTGGATATACTGCATTTCTTTCACCCATTTAGCAGGTGATGGACATTTAGATAGTTTTCACCTCTTCACCACTGTGGCTAGTGCCACTAAAGACATTTTTTTTACAAGTTTTGATTAAACACTTGTTTTCAATTCCTTTGGATATATCCTCAATCTATGCTTTTAACCATCTTCTAAACGTCCTCTCATCCCCATAATGCATTAAAAAATATTCAGTGGTTGTACCCTAGAATTACTCTCTTCCGCATCATTAGCACGACTAGCAGTGCTGGTGTTCTCTGGACTGGTTTTTGAAGAGGTGGTTTTTGTTCTCCCTGGGGCCTCGGTGAACGCAGGCACTACTTAAGATGCTTTTGGAAGTAGGTGGGGCTATAAATAAATGGTGAAATAAGCTCACCACTTCCCTTTTTCTTTTTTTATAAATGAGGGTTGGGATTCTATTTTCCGAGGCCTCTCACTGTTCTTTCACTCTGTGATTAGAAGCCTGGACACAAGAAGGAATCAGGTAACAAAAAGGCAATAAAAAACTGTCAGAGGAAGACAGAGGCAAGGATGGGTCAAAGGGCAGGAAGAGATGAGAAAATGGAGCCCTTTGGGGGCACAGTGTACATGTAAAGGGCCCAGGAAAAGGGCAGTGGGAGAAGGAGGGAGACCCCTGCTCTGCCCTGTCTTTAAAATCTTCACGTCGTAAGCCCAGAGGAAATCTCAAATTTCACCCAACTGAGGCCTCCTTCTCTCTCTGGCTTCAGGCAGGACTACCTCTCAGCCTGCAGGGACCACAACAGTCTGCCTTATTAGTGCCAATTTCTAGATAAGGTGATTTGCCATTAATCTGTAATCCTTCCATAGACATCAGACAAGTTCCAGTGCTGTATTTTGAGAGGGTTCATGGAAAATGTCATTCCCCAGTCCCTGCACAGCCTCTCCCA